GGGAGCCATCGATGATGGCACAGTTCCAGTCACGAGTGAGGATTTAGAATGAGAACAGCACCAAGTCTGGAAGCTCGGGAACACTGGTTCTAGGAGACAGGCAGAGGAGAAAGAGGCAGTGAAGGAGACCGAAGGCACTGCCAGAGAATCTGGAGGAGAAACAGCGAGAAGGAAATCACAGAAGAGGGAAGAGCGTTTCAAGAAAGACACGATTCGACAGTGTAAAAGTCAACATGGAGGTCAAGTCGGAGTGTTACTATAAACAGAAAGTGAAATGTGATCATCTGGAGTGAGCGCAGCAAGGGTCTATGTAGGGGAGGGAGCTCAGGGGGCAGATGCCGTGGACTCTGAAGTGAACTGGGATGCGGAAGCTGGTGCAGGGAATGTAACCCCTTTCGGAAGAAATCTGACCAACAATGTTAGGAGAAAGAGATAATGGTGGTTTAAGGAAAAAGGAACGGTTTGTTTTAGTTTTGATTGGCAAAGCGAAGGAGGATAAGGTCGTGAACGTTTTTTGAGCGCTATTATGTGTCAGCAATATTTACATTACCTAATTTTAACTCTGAAAACACGCCTAAGGTAGGGATTGGCCTCGTTATATAAATGGACAACCCGAGGCTCAGAGATGTTGAGTAATTGGTCCAAGGACCCAGGAATTTGTAAAGGGCGGATCAGAGCTGGGAATTCCCACTATATCATGCTGCTGCAAGTATTTGCGACTATTTGTAGATTAAGGAAAAGAAGGCATTGAAAACTGGGAGACCTTGGGAGTGAAGGGGGCATTATTAATAATTATGCCAGGACAACAGGAGCAAAGCAGACTGCCCACACAGTCTCGGATTAGTCTGTTGGTCACCTGATGGGTCCCCTGACCTAGGATACGACAGGCCCACAGGATAATGGCTCCATCAATGACCTCCGCCACTCCCAAGCACTGCTGTGGATGAATACAGATATTTCCAGAGCGGACACCCTAGTCTCACTATTGAAGACATTCAGGTACAACATACATCTCCAGCCTCACAACAACCCTGAGGCAGGCTGTATTTTTATGTCCACTTCATGACAGACACTGAGGATGAGAAAGACGGAGTAACCTGCCCAAGGTCAGAGCTGGTGACGAGCAGACGTGAGACTCGAAAACAGACCTTCTAATTCCACTATGACTTATTATCCAATGTCATAATTTAGTAGTCCATTGCTCTTTATAAAAAAAAAGTATCAATTAAGTATAAAAGAAAGCAAAAGCTTAAAAAAAAAGAGGAAGGGAAGCTTTTTAATTAAAAAAAAGTCATCTACAGCTGAATATTTCAGAGTCCTGACAGCTACTTTTGTAGAAAAGAGCTGTAAGGTTTTTCACACCAAAAAACCACCTGGTCCCTCAGTGCCTGAGAGGCTTGTTGTCTCAAGGGGATCCCCAGCCTGTGCCAGGAGCTCTCCCCGGCTGCCCTTGGCTGTCCTCCTCCACAGGCTTGGTCACGGCCACTACGAGGCATAGTGAGTCAAATGAAAGGATGTGTCAGACACAGTCTCACGCATTTGTACCGCTGTTCCTGTGGACGTCCGTACCATCCAAAGGTAACATTTCAGCATCTGAAGTCCATCTCCCAAACTCTCACACGCCAGCCACAGAAGCACCGAAGGCGCTTACTGGACCAGGCATCCTGAGATTTGATCGGGAATTATTAAAAAAACAAACAAAAATATATATATATCTTTAGAGGTATGTGGCCTCCTAGAGAGGATTAGTCTTACATGATGGCAGAAAACTGACCTGAGAGAGATTCTGCCTGGGTAAATTGGTCCAGTGTCATTTTAGGGAGGCTGAGACTTCAAATGACCAAATCTAAATCATCATAATTTTCCTTTTCCTGGAAATTTTCCTGGAAAAGTAATCCCAGAATTGCCAAGCCCAGGTTTAAGGGGGAAAAAAAAAAAAAAATATATATATATATATATATATATATATGTATTTGACTTACAATCCTTTTCCGTCTATTTCATGTGGTGTTTCTGGTAGGCTGATTATTGTTATTTTTTACCTTAAGCAAATAGTACTTTTTATAAAGTCATGTAGATCTAAACAAACAAAAATCAAGAGGTCACAGAAACAAATCATCAAAGAGACCCAGTGTCATACATGAGACGCACAAGACCACAAAGGAGATGAGCAATGACAGGAAATGGCCTGACATAATTCTTACTATTTAATCTTCTGGTGAATTTCAACATTCATTTGAATAAGACTTTAAAACACAAAATCACAGCACGTTACATAGAGCATCTCCCTCAAGAGACAAAAAGACAACAAAGGACCGGAGAGCAAAGAACCATACTGTGCAATGCCTGAGATTCAATCACGGGCTTCTGCAATCATTCTCCTGCAGCTTACATACCTGAGCCTCTTTTTAACCTTCTTCTGGCCAGTTTAATTTGATCCTGTAGAATCTGTACCCAGTCCCTCGGGCCAGGGAGTTTATCCACGTGATTAGCGGTACAGTATTTTTCTGTGAAGACTGAAAGAAGATGGGGAATATTGTTAAATACTTTAACAAATAAAACATGCAGATCTGAAATTGGAATATATCCCAAGAAGGAAGAAAAGCATATTCCTAAAAAACATCCGTTCTGCAGTGGATACCGTCAACATCCATATTACATTTGTTGGGTGGAGCTGGAGCTCGGCAGGGCCCTGTCTGCATTTACTCTACTGTGCTTCAAAATGAAACTGGCTATAAATATTAAGTAGAACTGCTGGAAACTGCTCTTTTGACTTGCTCCGCGTCCATCTGTATGTCTTATGGGCAGAGAAGAAAATGCTTCCTATGGGGCCACTGGCCCCATGACAAAATTCAGCAAGTGTATTAAAAGAGTTCACTTTTTTTTTGTTAATTTGAAATCTAATGCAAAACTATACAAAAAGATGATGTTCTCATGGTGATTCCAACTGACAATCAACACATGAATAACGATGCAGTTGAGTCTTAACGAAAGTTCCTCTTCTACTCTGGTCAACCTCTTGCATGTTGGACTAGCTCCGAGGAAATAGCTACCTATTAAGCACAAAAGAGACTATGGAGAATCATATGACTGGACAAAAGGGAGGCAAGACCATTGTCGTCTTAGAGCCACACGGTGTGTGACTGCTCGTACAGGCGCTGCTGTTGACATTTCTGCCCCACACCCTGGTCCTGAGCACTTTTAAACTTGCTCTTGTCAACTTTCTCTCCGTAAGGTCGAGACCTAGAACGCAGGCACGGCAAACTGCCTCCTTGCTATCTAAAATATTGGTAATTTTAATGTTCTACAGGTTTCTTTTAAAAAGAAATGACAAAGGAAAATGTTGACAGATTCAACTATATAAAATTTAAAAATTTCTATTCAATAAAAAATTTCATTAGAATGAGAAAAGCTAATTGCACTAAATATGACCAAAAAGGTTCAATATTCAACACTATATACTGAGCTCATTCAAATAACAGAGCAACGTCAAAAGTCTCCATTGATAAATGGACAAAGTATACTTAGCAAAAATATTAGGAAAAATGTTTAATATGTAAGCCAAAAAACTGCAAAGCACACTCTATCCCTATTAATTAGAAAAACAATGTTAAAAAGCTAAGACTTAAAATTGTGGGGACCTGGCACATTCAAACATTATTGTTGGCATAAGCTGGCAAAACCTTTTTGGGGAATAAGACAGTACAACAAAATGAGAGACATAAAACTGTTACACCTTTGGAATGGTAATCTCACTCCTAGAAATTATCCTAAGGAAGTAATTTGAAAGAAGGGGAAAGAGCCACATACAAATGTAAACCCACCAACTGTGCAGGAAGGTGAAGGGCAGCAATGGGGAGGGCCGGTGTGAGGGAGAAGAAGCAGGGGATCCTTTCCAGGAAGCTACCACAATGCTCAGCGTCAGGGCAGGGTCAGTGAAGATGGCAAGTGGCCAGAACAGTATCTGGAAGTGGCATTTCTGGTGACTCACATGACCCGGCAAGTACAGACAAAAGGGACGGTTTGTGAGGGGAAAGGTGGGATGTGTTAGGCTTGGTGTGGGACACACTGGGTTTGGGGTGTTGGCAGAGCACCCACGTGGCGATGGCTAGCAGGTATTTCGATACGAAACCTGCAGTTCAGGGAAGGGTCCGGGTTGAAGGTGCCAGTTTGAGAGACATATAGGCAGCAGTTAAAACAATGAGAGAAAAAACATTGACTGGAGAGAACACAGCGAGTGAAGAGAACGCTGGGCCAAGCACAGAGCCAGAGAGACCCGCAGTGTTTGAAAGGAGAAGATGAGCCCCAGGATTGGCTTGAGTCAGGAGAACCAGAAAAAGGGTTTTCTAAAGGCCAGTGGGGGGGTGCCAAGAAGAGGAGGCACCAACAGACTAAAGTGCAGAAGAGGGGGCCAGGAAGGGAGGTTTGGAAAGTGGCCACTGGAGGCCGTCAGGGAGTGGTGAGGGTGACCACAGATGACACTGAACCAACTGGGTTCAGTGGGGAAGGAAGAGAAGAGGGAGGAGGGCTGAGGGTTGGGGAGATGGGAGACTGAGGGAAGCAGCCAGTATTGTGTGAGAAGACAGGACCCAGGAAGGATCGGAATAGAAATGGAGGGGCTGCCCTCAAACAGGGGAAAGCGTCCTCCTCTGAAGCCAGAGAGGGGGCAGACTGGGGGCAGACTGACAAGTGGTTACAGGTTGGAGTGATCACTCCTGAGACTTCACTGAGCTCAATGGGGAGGGGTATGGAGAGCATGGGGAATGTCTGGATTTGCCTTGAGAAGAACAGGAAGAGAAGGCAGCAGACTCAGGACACAGGGACGCCAAGCAGGAGAGGGGGCTCCATGCTTAGGGTGGCAACGACCTACAGGGGCAGGCTGTTTTCTCCTGCGGCACCTTGCAGCTGCTCGTTAGGAGTGGAGACACTGGATGGTACGGCTCGTCTAGGGCTGGGAGTTTGCGGGACAGTTTTGGCAGGAGGCCAGGGATCTAAAGCACTTGAAGATGTTGGTGAAGATGCTACCTAGAATGAATTACCTCATCTTTCTTCACTCCCTGTTCCCGCCCAAATCTGGGAAGGAAGTAAAGCAAGTAAAAGGCTCACAGCCTTGGAAAAGTCTCTAGAGTTCAGGGAATGGAAATGTCAATGGGGTTGGTAAGGAGGTGTCATGGAGCAGGGGCAACTGAGAGTATATTGCTGGAACATAAAATATCAGCAGCGGAGCTGTTCTGTATGAGCGTGCTAAGGTGTGGTCAACGGTGTGGGGCTGAAAGCAGTAGAGGTGACTGTTACTGTGGATGAGGTCCGGACACTATGAGGCCGAGCATCAGACGGATCTTCCCAGTGAAGTTACCCAAGGTGAGACCTGGGCTGGAGAGGAAGACGCACAGCTGTGATGAGCCTTAAGGGAAAGCTTCCATCCCAGCCCCAATTGGGTAGATGAGGAGTATGATTAGGAAGCAGAATTTCGGATTGGAGAAATACCAACCAGGCTGCCCAGTACAGGGCACGGGGCGCATGGGCGAGCAAGCCGTCTCCACGTGGGAGGGAGGGAGAAGACACATATTCCCAGGGGAGGTGTGTTTCTGAATCCCCTATACCAGATTATAGACAACTTCAAGGGTCTTCATTTATTTCGTGTCCCTCAAAGCAGCGACCACAGTGCCCTTGTACCGAGTGCCCTTGTACTGAAACTCAATAAACAGTTGACAAAGAAACAAACATATTTTCCAGTTTTGTTTCTAACGGAAGCAAATACAATAGCTCACAAATTTAGACTAACTGGAGGAGGAAGGACTCTCTGAATTAGCAGAAAGTCTTAATTAATAGAATGAAGTTAAAGAGATAAGGTTTTATTACATTCAAAACGCCCACAATAGCATTCCTTGATCAGAGAATTGCCCAAAGGTTCTCAAAGTCCTGTTTTAACAAATAGAAAAAAAAAATGTATTTAATGCCCTATTAGTTTATATGAAAATGTGTACCACAAAAATGATTAAATATAGTCTTAGTAGGTAAACATCTCCCTCCTTGTAATATTATTTATATCATTAATTTCCATAGCAACCCTCTTTTCTTAGACTGTGCAATGCAGGTGTCCAAATTAGCACATTAGGAAGTAGTGCTTCCAAATTAACAAAGTACATGTGGATTTTGCCAACATCAAAATAACTCCCAGCAACCACATGGGTCAATGACCAAGTTTAGGAGAACCAAAGGGAAGGTTCTGGAATGTCTTCTCCCACTCTGCAAGGGGCTTCCAAGCAGATGCCTCGAATCTAATCTTGAGCTCAAGTATTCTGCCACTCACTAAAAAGGCAACAATTTCTGGTTATTTTTTTCTCCTTTCAGCTAAATTTTATCTGGTCTCAATAAAAAGAAGCCAGGGACATCTGTGTCTCCTGGGTCTGTGTCTGAGACCACTGGAGGCACAGCAGTAAGGCTTCTCCAAAAATACCTATACGGACAAATATTTCCACTGGGCATGTTACTGACATCCTATGTCATGGATTACACTCAAACTTAAGAGACTTTTAACTAGCACCTACCTGCTGAGGATGAAATCCTGTTCTCTTTGTTACATGAGCAGATGAGGCCTTAGACACGGCCAAGATTGTCATCGTATTGATCTGAAAATGCTCGATATGCTTTGTGAATAGAGGTATCGAGTAACTAGAAGATATGTTTGCTATCCAAATCTATAGCTAAAGGTCAAGCTATTATCCTGGTAACAGTTCCATTAGGAGTAATGATGTGAAAAGAGGGACTGGATTAATGCACTGGGTTTCCTGCTATGTTAATAGTGGGTCATTAGGAATTACAGTACAATTTGCATTCATCCTTAGAACGCAATAGGTCCTAAACAGAAATTTCCCTCCTTTCCTATTTTAATATGTTAAGGGGAGGCAACGGCTAATTTTAAACAAGTCCAAATAATCCGAACAAGGGGACTAAGGCCAACAATTAAACTAAATAAAAAGAGTTAAAACGTCTACTATGCTTAATATAATTTGAGGTCCCAAGGCACAAGGAGTATGTTAAGTCACTGGGGAAATGACAAATGTTCAATTTGATCTGTACATGAATAATGACTTTTCTCGGATGCCTGCATTCATTTGAACCATGCCCTTTAATTGCATATAAATAATGAATAAGCTGGTGGTGGCTGAGCGGGCGGGTCCTTCCTGAGGAGCACAGCATTTAATGTAATCATCAATGAACACGGTGGTGTGCAGCGTGTCTGAATGCGACGTGCTGAGAACACAGCGGATTGGCCGTGTTCCCCAAACAGCTCTGTGTTCACACAGTAGTTCCTGGAGGACTCGGAGTTTGGATTCTTCTGGCTGTCTAGGTTGGGAAAGGCAGAATATGGTGTGGATTTTTATAAAGTCACTGGATCACTCAGATACTTGAAGAAGCAGGAGGAGCCCTGCAGAGCTTCAGTTTCACTGTGAAATCCTCTAACTAGGATCAAACACCGGCCAGCAGTGAGAGCCCACCTTATGATGTGATGACTCAGTTTTAACTCCTGGTCAAACAGATGAGTGAAAATCAAAGTTGACATCAAGTAGAACTGAAAGCCAGGTCCCCATTAGGTCTGCGAAACAAACAGAGCTTGCAAGGGGCCAGGGACAAGGCTAAGAAAGAACTCTCCACAGTGGGGTCCCCGGACCACTTTGCTGGGGGTGTGCAAATGGAGAGGGAACCTTGGGGGGCAGCTCCAGGTGATGCTCGCTGATGCCCAGCTGCAGGTGGAGGAGACCAGGTTTCCCCGCGGGCTGTCTGCCTCCCACCTCCTCACAGCTCAATGAGTAGAGAACAACCAACCAGAACCCCTCCCACCTCCTCCTCTTTCCTTTCACTCTTCCAAGGCTACACTTGGAAGCTTCCCACGTGCTGAGCACTGTATATTTATCTCATTTAATCTTCGCAAGAACCCAGTGGCACAGGTGTGGTGATCCTATATTACAGATGGCAAAGTCCAAGTACGGGCAGGTTATGTCGCCGGCCGGAGACTGCACAGCTAATACGGATTATCCTCCACATAAATGATTTAATTTTTCATTTAAAGTTGTAGATGAAGGCACAGATTTTGTAAGAGAAAAATGACTGAATTCTAAATATGGCATAAACAAATCAATAACTCAGGTAATACTTCCGTGTGAAAGCTGTGAATGTTGGTGTCACTCCAACTACACAAAATGGAAGCATGGGGGACGGCAGAGGAGAGAGGACCAGGTGGGGTCTGCGATGATCTCCCCTCCATCAAGGGGTTAGTTGGCTTGTGGCAAGGACAGGAGAGGGAGACAGGTCCTTGGGTAGATGCTGCATAGGTATTTTCAGCTCTGACACTGATGACTGGCCCAAATTTCATTCTAATAGAGTATATATTTTCTTTGATGATTTTATGGTGCTTCACTTCCCAATTTCATGGCGAGAGCTGAAACCTATAAATTATAGGCTTGATATTCATTCTAGTAACTTATGAAAATAACAATAAATGCGGCAGTTAAGGTACCATGAGAGAAAGGGAAAGAGCCAGAATGAGGCTGGCGATGGTGCAGGGCTTCATATCTTGGTGCAGCTGTTACTGGTCTACGGACTGGCTCTCAGCCATACAGGTTCAGAAATCTGATTTTATCAGACCACCCGGAGGATACAGGCCTGAGAAACCAGCTCACAAGAACTAAACCTACAAGAGATTGATAAATAAACTAGGATGACAATGAATTAATGTGTAATAGGGGGGATTACCCTTCTGGTATCTGAAACATTTGAGTCATAACCCAGTACTCCCACTTCTTGGAATCAAGACACTGGAACGAAGAACTAAACGGAAAGTTGCTTGGTGAGCATGGAATTGACCCAGAGGCAGCTGGATGGTGTGGGGTGGGCCAAGCTTTAGGATGCCTATGGAAAACTGCCCACCCCTGGCCCCTGCTGCGAAAGTGGGCAGGAATGTTTCATCCCAGTGCCCTTCAAGCCGCTGGAGCAGTGACGGGCACTTGACCTAGGCAAGCCAAGTGGTGGACTGCACAAAAGGATGAGCTGGGCCCTCTGGCATCCTTCTTTTCAGAATAGCAAGCAATGAGAGGATGAGCTTTAGCAATAGGAGGCAAGGCTGAGGCATCATGACGTGAGTAGTCCCGACGTACCCTGGGCAAACCACAACTGTGAGGGCCAGAAACCAAGTGGAGGAAGCCAGCCGGTGAGGAGAGGAGGGTGAAGCCGATGTGCAGAGAGAAGCGAAGAGCCAGAGAGACTGACAGTGTGGCTGGTGAGAAGGGGATGCAGCCGAAGAGCAGCCTCCATTGCTACCACTTCCCTGTGCAGCCTCATGGCGCAGCTTCTTCCTAAGGGAACCTGACGGACTCTGCTTCCTGGAGAGAGCGTTTTACGATGGTCGGAGTAAAGCCTGATTCTTAATCCACTGTTGATTATGTACCAATGACCACCACACTCCAGTGCCCAGACCGCACAGTACCGAGTGGGCACCGACAAGTCCCTTTGCTTTCCTGTCCCGGCCTCTGTGCACACCGATCTTCAAGGCACATCACGAGACACACGGTCGCAAACGATTCTTTCGATGTGCGATGACTTCAGCACACGGTTTACCTCACCTGTCTGCGCTGATTCTTATTAAGCACATTCACAGTGGATGGTATTTTCTGATCCCACACACAATCTGGGGTGCTTCATACCTAGAACCTGACCCCCACTGTGCTCTCATTATAAAAATGCCAAGCATTCACTCAAGAAGGATCTACTCAGCACCCACGATGTGCCAGATTATGCCAGGTGAACAAGCGGTCCCTTGTCCTTAAAACTCTTTCACTGAAGTGGAGGGTGAAGGCAAATGAAGTTGAGACCAGTACAAAGGAAAGCTGCTCTGACAGAAGGAAGTCCAGGATACAGAGAGAAGGGTACCTAGCCCATTCCTGGGGTGAGGGGGTAGCTGGGGAAAGCTGTTGGGTAAAGTGATGGCTAAGTTGAAACCCAAGAAAAAAGAGGGGGTTAGATGAAGAGACAGGAAAGAAGATGGAGAATGCTCCAGACTCAGGAACCACATGTGCAGACCAACGACACACTGTGCAGTTGCCGTGAGACGGGGGTAGGGGAAGAGCAGTTTCAGGTTATCACACTTATAAGCCAACAGAAGGAGGTCTTGGGCCTATGTGGGGGTTAGAACCGAAGCCCCCACATGAAGCTGGGAGCCTCAGAGGCTGCACTGCAGCGTAAAGGATAACTGTCTACCCACCAGCACCGGGTGCCCTGTCTAGTCTTTGGAGGGAGGAAAAGTTTTCTTGGAAAACTCTAAATGCTTGGCCTGGACCTCACCTAAGTTTGGCGCATGAAATTATGCTACCTTGGTAAAAGACATAAGCATCGCCGTTGGTACCTCTGGGCTCCAGACCAACGGGAGTGCAGAACTACTCTGAAGGGAGGATCCCACAACCTGGGTCCCAGCAGATGATCATGGAAAACAAAGCAAAACACACGCCCACTGCAGATGAGCTCATATTTACAAACAGTGAAACACACGAGGAAACAACACACCAGGAGCAAGAGTCAGCCGACCCAAGGAAAAGCAGGATCGGAGCCCGACTAACTCGAGGCAATGGAATGGCAAAATAAGAATGTCTAAAATGATGAGGGACATTAAAGAAGGACTTCAGTCAGTAAGAAAACAACAAGGCTGATTTCAAAAAGAACCAAAAGGAACTTACAGAAATGAAAAATATAGTAACTAAAATTCAAAAATTCAAAGGACAGGCTAATCAATAGATTAATATCACTAGATAGAATAGGGAGATAGATCTGAAGAATGACTCAGAAGGTAGCAGAGAGAGAGGAGGAGATAGAAAATATAACAGACAAAGGAAGAGACATGAAGGACAGAATGAAAAGGTCCAGTAAACACAAACAGATGTTTCAGAGGGAGAGAAGTGAAGGCAAAACGTGAAGAGACAGCAGATGAAAACTTCCAGAATTGCTAAGTCAGGAACTCTGGTTTCAAGAAGCACAACAACCAAGCAGAGCTCTGTAAAAAGAAATATCTACCTAGACTTAAAACGAAGAAAGTGGGAAATCCCAGGTAAGGAGGTCTTAAAAGCAACTAGAGAGAAAGACAGATTACCTACAAAAGGAGAACAGGTTGACAGACTCACAATGGCAACAAAATATAGAAGACAGGGGAATATTTTCAACCTGCTCTGAAAAAAATCCTCAATCTAGAATAAATTACCCAACTAATAAACTCCACGTTATTCAACAGTGAGGGAGAAATGAAGAAGCTGTCAGAACAAAGATTGAAAGAATATATGCACAGACCCTCATTCAGAGAATTACTAAAGGTTGTACTTGAGGAAAAAGAAAACTCAGTGCAGAAGGAAAGAAGTGGAGGAGGGAGAAGAAAGGAGGACATGACCTAGAAAATATCAAGAACTACTGCAATGCCAAACTAATGAAAACTGTGTAGTATCGGCCCTGAGGCAGATAAAACGTCAAGTGTAAACATGTGAAATGGGAGCTCAGATTACGACAGAAGTGGAATTACTATTCATGCGCAAAAAAAAAGATGGTGTTAAAATGACTGATTACCCACAGAGAAAAACAAAGTAAATCCCTCCCTCACATCTTAGGCAAAAGTAAATTCCGGGTGGATGAAAGATCTGAATATAAAAGATAATTTTTTAAAACTCTGTTGGAAAAAAAGTAAGAGAATACCATTATACCATCAAGGTAGGGAGAATTTCTTAAAACGGGCACCAAAAAAGCACAAGGCATAAAGTAATCTATCTGACTGTTAAGGCTAAACTTTGATATGATAAAAGAGACCATATGCAAAGTTCTGCAAGTTGGAAGAGAAAATATCTATAATACATATAAAGGACAAAAGAATTCATATAAGTCAATAACAACCACTTAATGGAAAAATAGGAAAAGGATGGAAGTTCACAGAGGAAAACAACCAAATGGTAATAAATATGAAATGATGCTCATCCTCATGGATTATCAGGGAACCACCACTGAGGTGCCATTTGAGACAGATCAGGCTGGTAGAAATTAAAGTTTGTTCACACCAGATGTTGGCAAGGACAAGGAAAAACAGGATTTCTTATATATTGCTGGTGGGTGTTTAAATGATATTGGCCACCTTAGAGAACCACTTGGCAGTGTTTCTATCCCGTGCCTCAGTTCCACTCCCTGGTGCATGCCTTAGAGAAACTCACACACAAGCCCCAGGAAACCCAAAGACAGCTGCTGCCATGGGGAATCACGAAACAGACCCACCCTAACTGTCTCTTAATAAAAGACTGGAGAGAGAAATTGCTTTATTTATGTTGTGGTTAGCAGTTAAAATGAATAAACAAGATTTATAATGTATTGATATGGATCAATCTTGAATAAAAGGACAAAAAGTTGCAAAAGTACATGAGGCTGTATGTAGATGTATGTGTAAATTCACAAAACAATAGCGTGACTTATGGACACACAGTTAAGCAGTAAAATAGAAAAACATGAATGGGAAAGATTCACACCAACTTCAGGTTACTCTGGAGCAGGAGGGAGAAAGAGAAACAGAAAGGGAATGGAAGGTGGCAGAACATTCTGATTCCTAAAAAAAAAAAAAAGAAGTGAGGGCTATGAAGTAAATATAACATCTGACTTAAATCTCAGTGGTAAAGGAGAGAGAAAACGAATCTTGGGAGAATGTCTACAACACAAGATGAGGAGGACTACTCTCATTTCTACTTCTAACCTGAAGACTAACGCTAACAGGGACAAATGCCATTCTTCAGTCGTTCTATGAACAAATCAGAAAATTTTTCCTAAGATGATGCTGTGAAAATGTCAATACTGACCAGATGTCAAGGATATTCCTTACGTGCACTCTCTCTTGGGATAAAAACCAGAAGCTATCTTTAAAGGGGAGCTAGGAGAGGATTTGATGATTTGCCTGCTGGGAGTAACAGGGTGAAGACACGAGTCCACCAGCCTTCAGGTCACAGCTGAAATGTGACCTTCTCAGGCAAGGCCCCGCGAGTTCGTTAACCAGCGGTTCTTAAATAGCAACATGTAGTGATCATCTAAACTATAAACTCAACAAGGGCAGAGATCAAGGCTCTCTTGTCCATCGCTGCACATAATAGGCAGCAGAAACATATGGTTCGTGAAAGAAAAATCTCAGAAACTTCTTTTCTCTGGTCTGTGACTTGACTTGAAAGAAGTGAAAGGAGAATTTCTTCAGTAAACGGCCATAGATCTTGAAATATACTGAGCCTTGAAGTTCGTTTCAGATTTAACCATAAGACTTAGCACATAGTTCATCAACTAATGCACCTAAAAATGAAATCTTTAAATGAAAAGTTGAGGAAATAGAGTAATGCAAACAAGAATGTATTTATTGATGAAACCAGAATATCCTACTGAATTATGTACAGACGGGACTGCAGGGCAGTCAGCCGGTCAAGTCGGGTGAAAGGTGACCAGAAGGACCACTGAACACTTCGCCCCTTAGTGCTGATCCTTGAATGGGGCTGTGACCTTCCGTTGGTTGTTGTAATGAAAAGGGCCCTAGATATCCTCAAAATTGATTCCCTGTCAGATTTAATTCTACAGGCTTACTTCTGAGAATATGGCCGAAAATTACTGAACCACACACATTTCTGAACTGGAAGAGACTAAAAATTAGCCAAGCCACGAATCTTTTTTCAAGAGAAGGTAATGTTTCAAGACCTTAAACGGCAGAGTCAGGAGAAAATCTACATCCCACAATGCTCCTTTCATTATCCCCAAACTGGTGGGACTTTGAGGTTTGAACAATATCGTTTAATCACAGCGATTCTCAAAGATTTGAGGCCAGAGTAGTCTGGAGGAAAAGAACAATATCCCGTGTCTTCCTTTATTCAGTTTTTGCTACAATGCCCTCTCTGTCTAAAAGAAAGTGCCTATAGTGGTTTCTCAAATTAGACAAAGTTAATTTTAATTTACTTCAATTTAAGAAAGCCCTCAGCAGAGCCCATTGATAATATGGTTAGTGGGAAATATGATTAACACTATCTTTTGGCTGGCTGTGCTACAACACGTTTGTTTAACATGTTTGGCATATTTCAAGGGAATAAATTATATCTGCTAATTATTAACATCTGGGTCATAACAAGCTTTGATGTAATGGTATTTTACTGTCTAGCCGTTTTTTGGCAAAGAGAAATGTTTCAAACTCATAGATTTGTAGAAATGCTACTTGGAAGGCATCTTGGAAATAGTATAACTCATTCAGTTTGCAGATCAGGAACTGACGCTCAAATGAAACAAAATTTGAAGGATCGAGAATCATCAGCTCCAACAGCTAGGCAAGTGGCACAAAACGGCACGCACACTAACGATGCTCCCTTTGCCCAGGCACTGCTTCGCAGCATGCTTCTATGTTTGTCTGGTCTTTCTATAAATGAATGGGGAGAAAGTTCTGAGTTTTTCTCTCAGTTTTTAAAGCTAGGGTTTCTTAGCATATGAACTCCTGAAGTCATTCCATGAGGGATTGAGTTCACCCACTAGCCAGTGAGTCTGGAAGTAATACCCACAGTACCAGAACAAATTACAACACATTTAGGAAGTTCAGGTACCATCCCGTGCCTCACAACCACTCCAACTCAGAGACGGCCAAGTTGGAAGAGCAAGAGCGATGAACTAGAAGAGCAATGGTGGTGACGGGGGTCTCGCCTATGAGATGAGGTCATCAGATCGATACACTTGTCCCATGCCTGCTACCATATACTTGTGGCTGCTGCGTAGTGGACATTAGGTTGAAGGTGCTGGGCATTAGAACAGGGCCGATGCCTCAGAGCTAGGATTTTATTTTCTCTTCTTTTTAAATGCTGGCAACTCCCTTCTGATTGAGATTAGCTCTGGAAAATATTGGGCTCACGTTTTGACACTGACAATAAAAAAGTTCTCAAAATTTTCTTTGATACTCTCTCTTTGAGGCACCAAGTTGCCATGATGATGAATGCTAAAAAAACATATGGATGGATAAGTATACTGATGTATTAAGAAGTCTCGAGATGGTAGAAACAGGAAATGGCCCATTTAACCCATTTATGGATTCCACTATTGGAATCTTTATTAATTAACATTAAGTCATTATTTAAATTAAAATCTCACAATAAAGTTATTATACTTCACCTTTTGAAGATATTATTCTCTGGTATGAATGAAGTGTGACAAACTACACCTTCCATATTGTATATTGTGGAGGTTGCTCTTTGATCTTTAGTGATAATCAATGCTCTCAGAGCCCCCACTGAATACAGATTGGGTTTCGTATTTGGGATCACTTCCATGTTTTCAGTTGGCAAGACTTCTATCATCCTTGATTGCTGTGCACCACCTGATCTGTCTGTTGCTGTTGTTTCTTCTAATCTTCAAACTTACATAGAATTTCAGCCTTCTTGAATTTCAGCTGCCCTCTTCCAACTTGTCATGGAGGAGTTGTATACTTATCTTGTTATTCATCCCCTGCACACATCTGTGTTTTTAAGAACTGATCTTTTTCAGCGAAGACAAACTGACCGCTTGATTCCCTCCATTCCTCTTTCCTTCCTTTCTGTATTTATCGATCATTAGTTATGTGAGCAGCACTGTTTCACGTGTCAAGGAATATGCAAAGCAAATGTAGAAGGTGGTCTCTGCCCTACAGGGGCATGTAGTCTTGTTGAGAAGACAAGAGGTTCAAACAAACAGGATGACCAAATATCCTGATTCCCCAGGACAGTTCAAAACACTTGTTTTCCCAGTGAAATTATTAACAGCACCATTTTCAGTCTCAAGAGTGTCCCAGTTTGGGCAATAAATGACATAGTCATCCTCCGTATACACCATGAGTAGCAAGGCAAGGGGTTAAGAGGTATTGTTCCATGGAAGAAAGGTAATAATATATCCCATAGGAATTTAGAGAAAGGGGAAGCCAACATGGGCTACGGCCTGTGGAGAAAGTCTCCTGGCAGAGGTGATGAGACTTGGGCTGGACCATGAAGAATGAGTTGGACTTGTCTGCAAAGAGAGAAGAGCATGGTAGCCCTAAGGAACACAGCATGACTCGAAGTCCAGAATGAGTCTGAGATGCTTGAGGGATAGTGTCAACGCTGGGTTGCTCACCTGGCAGGAGCCCTGGGAAATGTGGCTGACAGGAGAGAGAAATCAAGTTGTGGGGAGTCTGGAAAAGGCCAGGGTTTGGACTTGATTTAACGGGCAAAGAGGAATTAGGTAGGATAACGTCATGAAATTTTGTTTTACAGGTGTTCCCTGGCTGTTAGAATACAGTATGAAGCGGAGGGGGAAAACAAGGTCAGGGATATTTAAAGAGTTTTTTATGATGATGGATATTAACTAGACCGATTGTGGTGATCACTTCACAATAGATACAAATATTCAATCATTATGTTGTACACCTGAAACTAATCGTTACGTGCCAATTATATCTCAGAAAAAAAAGAAATGAAAAAAGTTTTTTGTAGAACATCAAGGACAAGGGGATGCACGGCTGCACTAGAAGCTGAAGCATCTGAGAAGCTGAAGAGCAATGAAGGAGAGAGGAAGGACGAAAAGAATAGATAGGACCTTGCTACGAGGTGGGATTAGTGGCAAGGCAACAAAAAGGCAATTGAAGGAGATTCTGAGTTTTCAAACTTGAAAAGTAGGAGAATGCTGATGCCTCTGTCAAAAATAATGTGGTTGCAAGGAGGTGTTAGTGTTGGAAGCCCCATGCCACCTTTCAGGTGGTATGCTGCGTGGGTAACAAGGACCACACCTGCCTCTTTAGAAAGAAGCCAGGACAGGTCCTGAGCCCTGCGATTAGTCTGAAATGTTCAGTATGTCACAGTCCTTACTGTCAACTATCTCATTTGTTCCTGGCTTCTGTCCACATTTCTAACTAGGATTTGCCCCCACTTAGTTGTGGCTGGCTATAAGCTGATTCAAAATGGTGCATGTGGTGATGAAGATGTGTGGGGAGGGAGGTCCTGAAAATAACCAATACTGGATTTACTCTGTGGTCAAAGGGATAGAGTTGATGAGGGGATGCTAAGGTTCTGAGAAATACCAGGAGCTGACCATGGAGAGGTGTCAAAATCTAACCAAGAGCCAGAGGCAAGAAAGGAGAACCTGGAAACACAGCCAATGCAACAGAAGACTTGACCGAAGGGAGCAGTCATGGGAAGACCTGATTAATTCCAAGAGGCAGCATCTCTCTCTTCTCAGGGTGCTTTTAACAGGACACATGCAGCCACGCTTTCTCTGATACAAAGATGTCTTAAAGGCAGCCACAACTGACGACTGCTTGCAGTTCAATTTTAAATGAAGGGCTGTTGATTTTTAAGGGGTTTTCTTAGTGGAAGCTGACGCATATCCCTATTTCACCGTGGGCTTACTGTCAGTCCATGGTACTGTAGTGACTACAAATATCCCATGATCATTTGCATATGCATCTTTAGGGTAGAAATATAAGCAAATTTAAATTCTTGAGTCTCTCAGATTTTTGATGCATACCTTGTGTGAGATCATCAATAACTGTTCATGGAACTGAACTGACAACATTTGCCAGATTACTGGCACCAACTGTAGGAGAAAAGCTATGAGAAATATAATTTGACCAATTCGGGACGTATTATACAATTCTGCTTCCCTACAATGGGAAAGAAAATAGGAGAGATGTGGCATTACCTCGAGATGCTCGTGAGCATCTCAGATCAGCCAAACAATTCAGGGACTGAAAGAAAAAGGAGATGGGCTGTGCAGAAAACACTGCTTTCTATTTTCAGGGCACTGTGCAAACCAGAAAGGTGTCCCTTCCTCAGGACATGTTACCTGCATCTGCCAGAAAAATGTTATCATAAATGCACACATCGACAATGTCAACAAGGAAAGGGTGCCCATAATTTTGTGCAATGCACCGTCATGCTGTAATGGCCCTGGTTTGCTACAGAAACTTATCTCTTTTGACGGGAGGCTGTTTTTGTCAACCCTAACAGTGGTGTTAAAACGCAGGATTTTTAAGAATTCAGTAACTGGGAATTAGAGTTGAATCCTGGCAAGTTAACCCACAACTGCTTCCTGTCCATTACGTGATAGACTGAAGAAAGATCAATAAAGCCACAGCATTCTTAACAAATTTCTCCACATTTCCATTTGCTCCTTATGTGGCAAACAGATGGAGCTATAATTTTGAGGAAGACGAGATTCCTTTTTCGAGCTTCTGGAAGACCAGTGACAAAGCAGGGACAGTCTTTAGACTTGCTGTGGCCCCAGCTCCAGGATTCTGACTCACTAGGTCTGGGATGGGCCCGAGGCGGCTTTAAGAAGCAAAGCTGTGGTTGAAAACCCCTGAGGGTAAAGAATATTGGAGTCCTTTTCATTGGCATTTTATTCATGAAGTAAAACACTTGAAGGTGAACAGGTTGGTGAGGACTCAAGGCCTACCATTCAGAATAGAATTTTAAAAGTTCTGGAGGCAAAAGGCTTTCAGCCAATGTTTTATTTAATGTAAGCTTCATTAGACTTGTTCTGTGGTTCACCTTTCCCATTCTCTTTGCATTTGATATACTTTCCTCCTTCAAGGTCTAGGTTAGATGTCACCTGTTCCGCGAGGCCTTCTCTTACAGGGATTTCAACCCTCTGTGCTTTCTCCCTCCATTCAGTATGGACACTTGACGTTGATGTATGCCATCCCAGAGTACAGCTATGGGTCATGGCTCACTGCTTACAGATCTGCAGCTCCACTCCACTGCACATTCCTTCAGGTCAGGGCCCGTGCCTCACTCGTCTTCATGTCACCAGTTCCTGGCTCACATTGGGTGGGCAAGAAACACGAGGATTATTAACAGAAATTTCATGCCTGTTTGTGATTTCTAAGTTTGCGAGGTCAATGAAAATACTGCAAATGTTTTGCTGTTCTCCTGACTTATCCTGTAGTGGAAAAGCAGCCAAGACCATGTCTTCTTTATCACACTGTTTGGTGAAGAAGTTGGCTGAGCAAATGCTTCAAATATGCAGTCAAGGGGACTGGCTGAGAGCCTGCTGAGAATGGAGACTACATTTTCTTCAAGACTGTAATGACGATGTCATATGAAAACTACGCATCTGTTTACTGACCCAAACGTCAGAGTTGTGCTGAAGTCTGGAAACGCCTTTTCTCCACCTGGTAAACTAGGCGGTTATTCAGTAAAGTCCTGGTGAGGAGTTACAGGCATGTCTGAAACCAGGGCCCTTGTGTGACACAGCAGAAAAAAATCATTTCAAGCCCCAGAGGCGCAGAGGATGAGAGAAGCTGACACATGCCATCTTCTCCTTTGTTCCCAGAGAGGCGTAGGGCAGTCTTCAGAAAATGGGGTGCTCTTAAGGAACAGAGGGAAGAGACAGTCCCACAGGGGGACTGTCGTATGCTGCCGACATAGATCACGACTCGTGAGAATCAGAGCTGGGACGGCCCTGCTTCTCCAAGGTGGCCTGAAATCAACCTGTGTCAGTCACCTGCAGCTGCTGCTCACATTTCAGATTCCTGCGACTACCCTTCACCTAGTGAATCAGTCTCTGAGCACAGGACTCAGAAAGCTGAGTTTTGAATCAACACCTCCGATAATTCTGAGGAAGAGGAAAATCTGAGAACCGCTATGGGAGGGGTTGAAACACAGGGCTCTTACACGCAGAAAGGCCAAGATCCACCATCACCTGTCCCCGGGCCTCCACAAAAAGCGGGAAAATACAAACAACTACAACCACGAGGAAACAGCGACAAACAGCGCTGAGAGACAAGCTATGAATCTGGTGTAATTATAGAGTTGTTACGTACTATTTTGTTGTTATATATTATGCAGTCCTATCCTGTTTTATGCTGATCTGATATGTAAAAATATGAACAGATAAATTAACAAATGATTATTCATCTTCCAAAAGGATTCTTGAATTAAAGCATTCATCAATTGGTTCCAATTGCCCAACACTTCAACTAGAATTTAATTTACATACAACTTGGAAAGACCACTTGGATGTGGTGACTTCCGAGGTCTTTCTTTGCGGCTCTGTCTGCTGGAAGAGTCTCAGAAGTGTCTCTCTCCCTAGGGAAGCGATCACACTTCTGTTCTCTTCCCTAGCACGATGGGACCAAGTCTCACTGTCTTCAAAGGAAGATCTGCCCTTGATGCCAGTAAATAAACTGAGGGAGAGCCATGTTGTACCCAGAAATTCACTTCAAATATGCTTTGCATACACAACAAACGACTGGTGTCTTTAAATAGTATGGCCGCCTTCCTAGTGGAATTTATGAAGAATCCAAAATGCTAAATTTTAAGATAGAAATTTAAATTTGGGATACCTATCTTTCTTTTCAAATACTCCTCACAGAAGGAAAGAAGTATGCTGGATGATGGATTTGCAGTCAGAGAGGCCTGGGGTTAAATAATGGCTCTATCACTTACTAGCTGTTTAAGTAAGATTACTTAATTTCTTATAGCCTCAATTTTCTCTCCTGTAAGTGGAAGTAAGATCATCCACACTGTAGGGTAGTCACATCCAAGCTGATGTTTCAGCCTTGTTCTTACAGGGAGTTCTGTGAACACACAGAAGTTACTATCAAGAAATAAACAATAAATGAGATGTAAATTCCACCCCTAACCATATTAATTAAGTCTACGTGAGATCGCATAGAAAACAGCTATTCACTTTTCTTGATTAAATCCCAAGGAAATGAATGATGATGTACAACCAAAACGGAAAATAAGGATATTCTAAGATGACAAATCTAGACCCTATAAGTTTCTAGACTTGCTGGAGTAAAATGAGAGGTTTTGGTGGTCAGCTCAGCAGAGCCAATGAAAGGGTGATGTCAAATGCAGCCAGGCTTTCTATCTTGTAAGAAGCACAGTTAAGGTTCTGGAGTACCACCAACGAACCAAGGATGTCCTGATCCCTGGTGGCTACCTTGGCAGACCCTCAGTGCTGAGTGCTCCCCAGGAGAGCAGCTGTCTGTGTCGCATGCCTGTGCTGCATGCAGTAAACGAAGAGTGGTTGACCACTCCTTTCACTGGACAAGCAGACGTACTCTCCTTTGAAGGCAAAGGGATTCAAGGACCTAGGAGAGTTTGATAGTAATGAAACTTTCTCAACGAATCACTACGAAACTGAATGAAAAAGGACAATACAGGTTCTAAAAACTGCTTGACCGCAACTCCATTTTCCGAAGAGCATCAGAGATCCAATGATGAGATCAATATTTAGATAACTCTGAGTCAAACTGCATGGTCTCCTGGTGCACGGAATCAAGAATCAGACGGTCTTCAGCAGGTACAGTGTCAAGCGAGGAGGGCAAACCCGGGCACCGACCTCCACTCTGCGTTCTGACTGTAAAATCAATTCTGAATTAAATCCAAGATACTAACTATCCTAGCACTAAAACCTAAGACTCTACTTAATAAGACCAGAGTTTCTTCTCCCCGATCTCAAAGTGCTCAGGTGTCTCTAATTACAGATCCTTTCATCGTCAATACCTAGGGTCACACCTATAAATGGATTTTTAATGAATTACCAATAAGTGTTAGCCACCATCAAGCAGATGAGAATATGTGAAAACCATGATCTCTACAAAGAGGCTTATATTTTATCTTCAACATACTGTCAGGGGGAATATTAATTATCACTACAAAGAGCTTTGTTAATAATCCCACAATAAACTTTTCTTTTTCGGTCCATTTCTGTTCCTATTTATAAGCTTTTCATAGGTTTTCATTTATGTTTTCCCCCATTGTTGTCTTAACCAACCTTGTCACTCTGAAACAAAATCCAGCTCCCAGAGTTATTTTTACTTCTAAGATTTTACAAAATCGACCAGTCTTTGTATATTCCGAGGTTGCAGAACTTTTCAAATTAATACTATAGTGGTGCATGAACCCACAAAAGACAGAGGAAGAAAGCCTGAATATTTAATATTTGTAAAATCTTTTCCAAGTATGTGGTAGACAGCAGTAGTAACACAAGCAGCCTTGCCACTATCCGATCACTTTCCTGGATTATTTAAGATTCAAAAGACTTGGGTTAGGGAAATAAATTTCTCTTTCATCTCTACCAACAGTAAGCAAAACTGGATATAGTTATTCGATAAGCCCTTCTGTTAACAGCTACTTCTAATAATCACTTTATATTGCAATATGTGCGTTAATAAACTTTTAGCAAGTGACCAAATGTATGTAAAGGAAAAAAGTATTAGGGATTTAAGAGAATTGTATTCAAATTTATATTCAGTTTTGGTTTCCATTTTTTAGCTTTAAGTGGCATTTAGTTAATTGGTAGAAATTTACAACGTTTTGGTGCCAATCATTCCAAATTAGTTATGAGAAGACTTGAGGATGGAAGTTTAGTTCTAGACCCATGAAGGCCAAAGTCAAGATGAAAAATAAGAACCTACATTTATTCATTCACCTACTGTGTATTTATGAAAACTCTACTATACACGTATACAAAGCTCTTAGTGAAGTACAACAGGCAATAGAAAATATTTAAGACAAAGCCTGTCCTCAGGTGCTCACAAGAAATTATCAGAATAAATCAGCTAAGGGTGTTGGCTGGCCAGTATGAACAGAATGTTCTTCTAAGAGAGACAAACTTGATGCCACATTCATACTTTGAAAAAAGATTGTAGGAATGTACACAGTCACCTCTGAGTAAGAGTGGGATTATGGAGGCCTTTCAGCTTTCTATATTTTTTATAAGGTCTGGATTTTTTACAAGCATGTATTATTTTTGTAATCAGGAAAAAAATTGAAATAAAAATATGTCTATGAATAAACACTAAAGGACACAAGTGAATGTACAATATTTGTTGACTTAGGTTGTTGCTGGCTTATGGGTGGATTTCTGTCTGCTTTAAGGTTATTTTGTTGTTCTAAAATAATTTTAATGCCAGATTTAGTTCAACGATAAAAGAAGTGCCTGGAAAATTTAAGTTCCTTGATTTGAATAGTCTGCTTTATTATGTATTAGGAGCAGAAGCCTCAGTGCCATATTTATTTTTAGCTAACGAGTAGGGCCATGAAGGAAATTAAGCATGTTCTCTATTTCAGTTTGTAATACACTTTCTCTGGATATTGTAGGATATCCAGTCTAGATCGAAAATGGTAGAATTAACCTGTGTCAGTTTACTTGTAATGATATATTTAATTATCATCTATTATTAGGGTAACTCTCCTACTGTCATTAAAATGGAACATGGTCATTTACGGTTCCCCAATTTCCAAACACTTTCATACCTTTAATATACTGTCTTGAAAAAAAGAAAATTAAGACAATTCCTGGCTACATTTCAGTGTGTTTAAAAGCTTCAGAGACGAAAAGCATCATAAGCCTTGACCCTCATGTTTCCAGGAGGCCCCAGCCATACTAAATCGAAATGAGACCCTTCTTCACTTCAGCAAGTCCTAGTTACATCATTGACCATTTTTCAAATTCTGTAATCTTGTTTTTAGTGTCGCTGCAGGCTGGATCATTCTTTTCAGAAATGGCACAGTTGTGATATCTCTGTAGCTTTTCTTATTTAATACAACTCAACTGTCACTTTAAGTGAAAAAATTCTGTTGGAGAATGAGAAATTTTCTGTTAATGAAGGCTTATGTCCTTCTGGCCACAAACAAAGGGTGTCTGGTACTTGCTAACTCCATTTAGAAATCACATTATTTTGAAAAGTTAATTGTGGGTTTCCAAGTGTCCTTTAAGCACTCTTAAATTCATTTACTATTCTGCAAGATAATGGGGACTATGGGTGGGGAAGGCCCTCTGGTCCAGCCCCAGTCCACAAGCAAACACCGCAGGAAGTGAGGCAGCGAAGAACATCCTTATGAGTGGTTCTAGTGTACAGGCCTCATCCAAAATTTCGTTTCCACGGTAGTTGTGTTTATGTTTGAGAACCATTTACACTCTTTTTCAAAATGACATTTAAATACTCCTATTATCTAAAATTACATTTTATCAGAGTCCTAAATAGGGGCATTTTAAAATTAAGAAATAGGGCTAGGATGTGGAACTGGACACACATGAGGATCCACTCCTACATGCAAGTGCATGGCTTACGTAGTGCAGCCGAGTTCAGACACAAGCCCACAGGCGTTAAGGGGGAGAGACCCATGGTCTTCTTTGCATGTAACGGGCATGACTCCATGTCACAAAACCAGAGAGCAGGTGGGCCAGCACTGTGTGGGGATGCACAGGATTTGGCTTCACACGGGGGTCACTTACATTTAAAACGTCTGTAGAAGCAAGGTCCTGGGAAAGCCACCTCCGAACTTTGGAGAGAACTGTTTTACTTTATTTTCAAAAAAGCATCATAGCTCTATTTTTATTTACAACTAAAACTTTAAGTAGAAATCATGTTTTGGTGAAATTCTTAGTTAGAAATTACTGAGAGGAAAAATACCTTCGTTTTTAAAGTCAATTAAGAAAAAAGTTCTTTTTGGTTCTGCAGCAGATCAAACTGGCTCTTAAATTATGATTTTAACAAATTAACATCACCTTGAAATACCAAATTCTAGTGGTATTTGGGGTGGTGAGTTACAGAGCTCACACCCAAAAGCCATGCCAGTGGGTAAGTTACCAATGGCAAATTAAACTAGCCTCTAGTTAGTTTACTACGATTCCAGCTGCATCTTTATGGAATGAAGGCAAAGCTTAACAAAGAACCCGTAAAACGAAATGATGCAGACCAACCTTTTATTGCACCCACAATATTTTGGTCTAGTCCTTTCCGGTTGTCATTGAGTCCTCTTTTCCTCTTCCCATTGGGTAAGGAGTTAGCCAAAGTCTTGTCATCAAAAAATGCACACACCAGTTTTCTAAACAGAAGGCTTCCTGAGCGAGTGTAGTTTGACAATATAGAGTCCAGCTGAGATTTAGGCATAAACACATCAAAGCCTTCAGCAAGTTGCACTTCTGGCTACCAAAAGAAGACAAATATTTCATTAAAAGCAAGATTTGAAGCATTTGACTTTGGGCATATGTGCAACCAAAAAACATCACTAGCTATTGCAATGTCCATATCCTGCAAACTACATTCCCGGCTTTGTGTGCCAGTATTTGCAATTTACAAAACCAGTTACTAGTTATAATTCACAGAACAAGACGTTCTGATTCCAGCATTAAGTCTTGTTAAAAGCAACAGAAAGGAGTATCCTGAAAAAGTATTCTTGTTCTTAGAAACAGTCGAGAGAAAGCTGGATAATCACACAATTAGACAACTCTAGAGCTACACCGGACTTGAGGCTTCTGGGTGAAACACCTTCATTTTTTATATGAAGGAACTCAGGCCCAAAGAGATAACAAAAATGACTTGCAAAAACAATTTAAATGTACTCAGCGCACTACAGTTTACAGGTCACTCTCTCCTACATTAAATGCTTTAATTTCATTTGTGGAAGGACACCAATTTGGGGCTACCCCACAGGCCCCATACTCTTTGTACTAGGCCAGTAGTTTTTAGTTGTGGAACTGGATTTATTTTTCTCCAATGAAAACATATGTCAACTAATATATATAATAAATAAAAAGGATGAGCAGGTGTCCCAGGCAGTTTAAATCGACCCCTGACCTCTCCTTTTGGGAGGAAAATCTAAAGCTCTATCCCAGAGCATCTTTGGAAAACCAATGCACTGGTCACACTGCTTCCCTGCCAGCGATTTCCTGCCTGGGATACTGGATCAGAAGACCTAGAAGGTGCCTTTCAACTTAGACTCTACACATAGGCTCAAACATGAATAATACCTTCTCTATCAGCACGCCATGGATGTTTATATCTTGCCTTCTCATCTTTCAACCCAGCTCACATCATTTCCTTTTCAAAGCCTTTCCTAGGTCCTTTCTTCCCAAGGAGGAGGCTGTGTGCCCTGTGTCACTGCTATTGATTTGACACACGTATATGACTGTGTTTATTATACTGTATTATAATTATTTATTAGATTGTGACACTTCTTGATGCGTGGAACTCAGACTTTGTAGCTCTAGGGCCTGGCACATAGTAGGCACTCAATAAATTCTTCTTGAATAGATAAGTTCATTAGTCATAATCTAAACTATTAAGTTGTTTACTGCTGATTAGTGTACGGTCATTTTAACAACTTTAATATGAAGAAATGCAATTAGTCAACTTTCATTAGCAAAAGAGGTGGAAGAAAACCTCGCTTAAGTAAGATGCAGTAATAAAAGCTTATTCTTACATATCATATTTATCACTTTGCAAACCTGGTGTTCCTTTAGATTTTCTAAATCATATTAGAAATGTGATGATTCAGAATTAGTTTTCCTCTTGGAGAAAAGGAGTTATTGTTTTGTTTGTCCTGTGGCTTCTCAAAATGCCTAGCACACTATGGTCAGAGTAAAGAGGGCTCAGAGAAGGGCTTAAATTACTCAGATGATGTGGGGAGGCGTTGGGGCCCTGCCCCTCCCAAAAGGAATTTTCGACTGGCTTGTCCAGAAAGTCATCTTATTTCTCTGCTTCACTTTGCCATTCAACTTCTGGTCTCTGAAGGCTCGGTAAATATCACCAGAAAAACAGTGCTGTCAGGGGCCGGCCCCATGGCCGAGTGGTTAAGTTCACGTGCTCCACTTCTGAGGCCCAGGGTTTTGCTGGTTCAGATCCTGGGCACGGACCTAGCACTGCTCATCAAGCCACACTGAGGCGGCAACCCACATAGCACAACTAGAAGGACCTACAACTAGAATATACAATTATGCACTGGGGGGCTTTGGGGAGAAGAAAAAAAAAAGGAAGACTGGCAACAGATGTTAGCTCAAGGCCAACCAAAACAAAAGAAGAAAAAACAAAGTGCTGTCAGATAGTTTCCTGACGTTTGCATCTTGCTGCTGGTAAAGGCCTGCAGAGAAGGCTGATGGGAGCTAGGGGCTGTACCCCCAACTCCTAGAACAGAAGCTGGCACACACCAGGCACTCAGTGCATATTTGTTGAATGAGTCAATGTAGAATTATTAGGCTTGAGAGAATTTTACCATCATAATCTAAGATGAAGTTTTATTCATCACCAGAATTCTATTTTGCACATTCTATGGCTGCATTTAGACCTTTTATTCTAAATGAACTGATCACGGATTTTTGCTAAGTGCCCTGATATCATTTGAAAGCCATTAAAAAAAAGAATCCCAGTCCACTTTATAGAAACAGCTACTCACAGCTATTTGAGGGTGGAGGGTGGTACAGAAGCTCTTAAATTTGCAAGCGAGGAAAGAGAAAGATACCAAGGTATTCATATATCTCTGTTGGATTCTGATACCATCAAACAGGTGCTTAAAACTCAGCCACCTGACCTCCAAGACTCCCAGAATTTCCCCTTGGCCGCATCTTGCAGGACCTGGGCCCTGATGTGAGAAACACTCATCTGAAGTAGCCACCGGGCAGAACTAGCTGCCCATCTCTTCACATGCTCATAGTATTTTCTAAGAACTATGTTTCTGGAACTTTTCATACTGCGTTTATTTAGTTAAGAGTTTGTTTCTCATCAGAATGTGCTCTCTCGTATTCAGTATGTCCAACACCCAGTTAGTGCCCAACAGAGATTTGTCAGAATAAATACAACTTTAGGTCAGAATTCATTCAAAACGCCTAGCATTGACTTGGAGCTCTTTTCACCCTGCATAAAGGAGTGGGTCTGCAAGCCTTCCATGTGTGGTTCCGATCTCCATCTTCTAACAGTGCCCACATGCACTCAAAGAGCAGACCACCAAGAGAACTGGACCCGAATGAATTAATCAGTACTTACTGAGCATCCCCTATCCGTAAGGAGTATACAGTCGGGCTCGCCAGATGAGACATGTACATAAATCTCTCTGGTACAAAGTAGAAAGTGACAAAGGCTACGAGACGTGCAGGGCATTAGGCAGCATTTGGCTGGTGAGGGGTGAAGGCGTTCAGGAGGGGACAGGACTGCATTTTATCAGGGTCTGGGAGGCAGGATTTAGGAGAGAGGGATGCAGTCACTGTTTCTGGCATCTGCTGCAACTCCTAAAACTAAGTATCTGGAGGTTTCTGTGAAGCCAAGAAACTCCTATGGGATCATAATAGTATGGTGATTTCTGAGACGCTACCCCATTGCAGAAACCGTCAGTGCCTCCTGTTCCACAGTCTACTGCCAGACAAAGATTGTTATTTTGAAGGGTTCTTTCCAAGTCAAGGAACGTGAACTCGCCCAGTTATAAGCCCCTACAAAGGAGTCAGTTTTACTAGTTGAGCCAGCAGCCAGCAGCAGGAGCAAGAGCACAGGTGACTGTCTGCACTCCTCCTGCTCTTCACGTTCCTTCTCTTAGGCAGAGCTCTTAGCTGGCAGTGAATGTGCGCCAAGGCTCTCCAGGTGCCACAGAGCAAGAAACCAATTCCCTAAAAGAAGTGAGTAGCTTGACTTTCTGAGACATAGAGAAAAGATAACAGGTTAACTAATCTCGAATTGTCACTAGGGGCCCTTCTTATTTCCTCCATTTTGTAAATATAATCACAGTGGATTACAACCAGGTCATGATCCACAACTTTGCACATATATTAAATACGGGTGAAAACGCTTCCTTCATTGTATCCTTGAATCTCCTCTTTTTTGTTCACTGTCTCTAGTTTAAATGAGACCTCTCTGCTTACTAATGATGGCTATGCTGGAAACCACCACTATTACAAAGGAATACCATTTTAAAAACTAGACTTCCTTTGACAGAATCACTATTGGATGCTCACGCAAGGACAGATAGCTAGCATGCTCATTTACAGAGTCTACTGATTACTGAAGTAATATGATCTTTATATGATGACATCCAAAGTAAGGGGCAGAATTAATAAGACTTACAGTCATTATTTTAAGAGTTAAGAGTCTGAATTCCCACTATAAATTTGGATTTTCATGTATGTCTTGCCTATTTCCAGTACCTCAGCCACTTAGCAGAATAAAGTATCCAATGTTAAATTTTCCTTATCCAGTGGCATCACATCTTACACTGAAGAAGTTCTGGAGGCACAAACTGCATACAGTCATGAGGACTCCCGAAAATGTTCCTGGACCCAGGCCCATGGACAATGACTCTCCTCTTTCTCTTTGATTTTCAGTTTGGTCTCCCTTTGCTTACAAGCAGTTGGGATCAAGATCTTCTTTGGCTGGGGGATCCCAAACCCAGGTAAATTAAAAGATTTCCCCCGAAGTCCCTGTGAGCATATCATGTGATGCCCCTGTAGAATCTAAAGAAAAACATGTAAACAATTTTAAGGAGATTATACAAATTAATCACAGAGGGAACATTTCTGATATGGGCTATTTTATAGAAGGTTTTATCAATACCAAATTACAGTCAGCCATGTAAAAAGCTACATGTGGTTGTCGGTTAAAAGCGTAAAAAGAAGGGCATGAATATTCATATTAGGTATTGGCCCCAGATCTTCAATTGCAAATTAATAAATTATACACAATAGTTTGTATAATTAACTTGCTAGCTAGTCAAGTTTGAGACTAGCTCAAGGCTGAAACCCGCAAGAAAATTACAGATGAAAAGGTAGGATTCTCTTGAATATGACTAACTGATTTTGGACTGAAAACATAGAACAGAATTTATAAGAATGTTTAAAGGCTGTGGATTCAGTCTTTCTGTTCATAACACTATCACATACAATGATCCTTTATTCTCATTTAGTATTTATTTAGCAGTATATTAGATGCATTTCTAGGAAAAGGAGCTTTAGTTTATGAAAAGAAATTTTGAAAAACACAAGACCCCCCTCATAATTGATTTTACTTTGATCACAAATGTGATCGGCTTCTGTGTGAGAAAAACTGAAGTTGTTCCCTAGGACTCAGGTCTGTGAGCAAGTACTACCATTCCCATTTATTAAGTGCTATGCCAAGATCATGGCCAACGAGCCGGGTGGCCACAAGAACCCATTAGATTGAAAGGCAGG